ATAGGATTGATGAACTTTGAAGAGGAATAAGAGGAAGATGAATTTACATAAGCGTTGCATGAGAAAGTCAAAACAAGGAAGAAGCTGACTTTTTCCATGCAATTGAAAGACTCAAGTTTGACCTCTATATAGTATGCAATATGCATAACTACTACATCTAAAGGCTAAACAATATATGCATAACTACCGTGGTTCAGTTCTTTATTTCGAAAATTTGGGTATAATTCAGATTAAGTCACATCGTGTGAGGTTTAATAAAAAAATTGAGTGAGTTTTAAAATCAGTTGGGATTCTCTTAAACTCGGGTCGAGTCGGGTGTAGACAAGGATGGGTATGGGTTGGATTTTTGGTTCACCCGACCCGACTCGAGAATAATGACTCCTCCATCCCGACCGAAATAATAAAAAATATTTTTATTCAATAAAAACAATGATTTAATTGAAAAAAATAATATATAGAGGGATATTATTATAATTATTCCTAAATATATAAGATAAAATTATCTTTTTCAGGTCGGATATTTTTCACCCTAAACTCAAATTCAACCCGACCCGAACAACACCTTTAAAAAAACCTGAACCCATTTTTTTTTAAAAAAACTGATTCGGTCGAGTCGGGTTTAGGTCTCATGCTCATATGTAGGTGTAGATAGAGGGGTTTAATTTTCTAGTCAGATTTGGGTGGACCAAGCCCTTGTCCATCTTTAAAAAGGGTAAAATATACCATTTTTCATTGAACTTTATTATCTCTCCTATTTCACTCACTGTACTTTCAGTTTTTTTAATTTACTCATTAAACTTTCGAATTATTCATGTTTTGACCACTCTGAATTATTTTATTATTATTTCAGTATGACATGTCATTTTTATTTTATTATTTTATATTAAATAATAAAAAAATATCATGTCATACCAAAATAATAATAAAATAATTCAGATGATCAAAATATGAACAATTCAAAAGTATAGTGAGTGAATTGAAAAAAATAAAAGTACAATGAATAAAGTAGGAGAGAGATTAAACTTCAATGAGGAATGATTTAATTTACCCATCTAAAAATAAGAGATATTTTTGCCCTTCTCAAAATTTTTATTAGTATTTTAAGTCCCTATTAATTTAAACTTAATTAAATTATAATTTTACTCCTCTAAATTTTTAGATTAAATACTTAATAAATACCTAAATGTTTCAAAACTTAGATAATTTATTCCCTCCAATATTTGATCTTATCTTCTATGATGAAAATACAATTGAAATTATACTTCAATATATTTTTACGCAAAAACTAGTCAACGTTACTAAACATCTAGATATATAAAACTTAAAATTTAGGGATATTTCTAGTTAATATATTACATACTCAATTATAATCACTGATTTTATTAAATCATATCACTAGTGTCATACTTATAATTAAAAGATCATTAGAGAATTAATTGTTTTCGAAAATAGAACTGTTATGAATTACAACTACAAATGTGATTTATATGTAATATACATGAATCAAACGATCTCATTTATTACTATATATGTTATTATCTTTTGAGATCCTAAGAATTGTCATTAGTTAATTGTGTACGGATTCAATTGAAATGCTTTTTAATAAATAAAATTTTATTTCTAGTGCATTTATATAATTTATAAATATTTTTTAAACGAAATCCATTCTATGATAATTAATTATTTCAAATAATAAAAACTAAATTGTTTGTCAGAGAGTATCTGAATCAACCAAGCTTGTGCTTTTTTGCTTGGAAAAGAGAAACGCCGTCAATGGGTGACAAATTCAAAAGGGGGGGGGGGATGACAATTAGGCTGCGTAATCAACTGGGAAGGAATAATTCAATAAAAATGACGATTATTATTGTGAATTAATCTTATAATTAATGTAACTAATTATAGTAGGTAAGGAAAAGTTAATAACGTGATTAATTCTGTCTGCTACACTATCCAATGTGATGAGCTAGAAATGGTACGATCCAAGTGGTTAAGGTACCCGTTATTTCTTGAGGTCTTATATTCAAACATTACATAATCTAGTTGTAAGGGTGAGCATTCAATTGAGTCGAGTAAAAAAATTGAGTTATTCGAGTTGACGAGTCGTATTTTATGACTCGAACTTAACTTGATATTTTTTCGAATCAAGTCGAGTTATTCAAGTTTTTACACAAATTTTATTATAATTTATGGTAACAATTTGATTCCAATTTTTCAATTTTCTTTAATCATAGAATATATATATATATTTCTTCATATTGTTTTCATATTATAATGTTATTGAATATATCAAATACAATCAAATTTATGAAATATATTTACAACATTATATTTGTAAAAAAGTAATATGAGGATAAAGTATTGATGAGAGTATAAAAAGTAAATAAATTTATTAGAAGAAAGAATTTACAAACAATTGTAGTCAAATGAATAAATTGAGTAAAATGAAAATATAAGAATTTTTTAAAAAAAAAGAGAATACAATTTAGTAAAAAATAGAAACATAGATATTCTATAGTGGTATAGAAGTATTAGGTTCAAATTTGATAAAAACTTGACTTAAAATAAATGATAGATTGAAGAAATATGGAAATCGTGAAAAATTGAGGAACTAAATTAAAAATAAAAAACTTATTATCAAAAAGAGGAATTGAAGTATATATGTATTATACGATGGTCTAAGAGCATATGATTTGATTTTTATAAATAAAATAGACTTTAAAATGAATGAGAAAGTGAATGAATAAAGAAATTAGGGACTAAACGTAAAACTGTCAAAATACTCAACTAAATTTTTAGTTTTTAGAGTAACTTAAAATTTTTAAATTTACTCGACTTGAACTCAAAATTCGAATTGATAATTCGAGTTGACTCGAATAACTCAAAATAAGAAAATGATTTTTTAAGTCGAGTTGAGTTTTACTCAACCGGGGTATAAACCTTTATTGTTTTTATAAGTCTTCATGATACATTATGCAGCAATCCTTGGTAATGGCATCCGAATCAATAAAACCAGAACGGTTTACATCCCAAATCAAAGCTGCTAAGTCAGTTGGATTACATGACTAAAAGCAGCCGATTCTGGCGACGATATCCGATAAACATTTCCTGCCCTTCACAGAATATGATAATGCTTTCACAGTAGATTCCTCAAATATACAAGAACCAGAGAAATCACATCAATCATTGAAGACAGTTCTAAGTCATAGGAAATATTATATAGAGAAACTACCTGACAAAAGAACATTCGATATACCACTTTCTTCGATGGTGATCCGAGTTACAGTAACAGGACGAGTCTTACTGATTCTATGTGCTCGATCAATGGCCAGGTCTTCAGTGCTCGGAACTACCATTAAGATCACCTGCAAGACAGCTCCTAAGAGTAGCTTTAAGTAGTTCTTTTCATTCAGGTGCAGGGCAAGCATTTTCATCACCTGTCGGATGTTTCGACACACACAGGTAGAAGAAAACATGACAGCAAATGGTAGCAACAGGGTCATCAGGTGTATCCCATAGTGAATATTATACAGATTCCTGTAAAATGAACTTTTTTTCAGTTCACTGGAGATACTATGAGAATGGGATTGAAAAATATTTCAGATCTACTGCCCATACCAATGAGGACTAAAAATGAAAAAAAAAGTTATAACTGAGTGGCAAAAAGAAAAAAGAACACTTGTAAAAATCCACAGTGCTCATTCGACAATGTTAAAAGGTCTGTTAACCTTTCCAGATTGAACACATTGAATTGCAACTGCATGACCTTTGGTCTTAAAATATTAAAAATTATAATGACAAGGAGCTTGCTTACATTCATCAATATATCATCATATACAAAATACAGAGATTTCATTGCTTCTGTAACAACATTCAGATGACGTGCAATAGAGCCAGGTTTAGAGAGAAATATTAACTTCAAGAAAGCCTCCAATTGCATATGAGACAGATCGAAGCGGAAGTTTCCAAGAAGTTCAGTAGATTCATCAGAGCAATTCATTAGGAAGTGTCATTGCCATGATCAAAACCACGGCGTACGCACAAAAGCATCAAAAGAATATTTGCTTAATTTTGGTGCAGCATATCCACAGCTGCATATGCCTGTAGGAAATATATACTAAAAGATGAGAATGAATTATGACCAAGGTATTAAGAATGATATGCTTGCAAACACCAACCAAACTCGAATGCTTGAGCTTAACGATCATTATGATTTTGTACAAAAAATATTGAGGAAAGATGTTCAAGTATCCAATTTTCCATATAAGGATTAAAAAAAGAAGCTAAAAGAAGTATTATAGAAGCTACCTGTCAGTTTTTATCTAGCAATAATAACAGGCGACCATGGCAAACATTGAGCAGCACATTTTCCCCAACTAACTACAAGATTCCATGTCCACCTCAAGTCTAAATAGAACAAAGATTCTAGCTGACAAGGGAGAAGAAGCAATATGTATGTCTATTTAAGACAATTATCAACGCAATATCTATCGTGCAATGTAATCACATAAAGACAAAGGAGATACATCCTGTCCGACTCGTCATATTATTATGAGAGAGTTTGTTCTCATTCAACTTACAGCCTGCAGCATAAAGAAGAAAATTACAGTAACCACCCAAAAGGTTAAGTTCCACAAAGTGCACAAAAAGGTTAAGTTCCATGTGAGCAAAATCCTTGAAAATAACTCAAAAGTACAAATAACAAAAAGGGTGAAATGCTAATTAATCTCCTTACCATCTGTAACATACAACTTTCATAGCCTTGTCAACCCTCTTAGCATGTTATGAGTTTCCACATCTAGTTTCTATCCCTTTTGAAGCATTTCTTAAGCAAGCATCACAGTCTCCTCTTTTCTTTTGCTCTTTGCATACCCATTGATCAACATCTTATAAGCAACTAAATCAGGTGCAAAACCCTGGGTCGCCATTGAATCAAAGACATCCCTTGCCTTATTCATTTCACCAAGTGTACACTACATTCTGACCATTATCCTGTATGTAAATCAATTAGCCTTCACACCTTTTTGATCCATCAACTTCAGTACTTCACGAACTTTATCTGTTGTTCCTTGCGTGCAAATAGCATCCAACAAAATGTTAAAAGTTTCAATATCAGGAACAATATGTTCACCAACCATCTTACTAAGCCAACTTGTTGCTTCTTCACATTGGCCTGAATTGCACAATCCATGTATTAAACAACCGCAGGTGACAATGTCAGGGTTTACATTTCTCCGACTCAATAGCTCCAACATGTTAATGGCTTCTTTGATTTTCTTTTCCTTGCATAAAGCATTGATCAAAGAATTGAAAGTCAACATGAGGATGGACTCCTTCATCCATCATTCTATCAAGCAAGTTTATCGATTCTATCCATTTTTTTGATTTGCTGAATCCATCTATTAAACAATTGTATGTGACAATATTTGGAATTACATTTCTCTGACTCATTAGTTCCAACATGACAACGGCTTCTTTAACCCTCTGTTCCTTGCATAAAGCATTGATTAAAGAACTGAAGGTTACTACATCAGGACGGATTCCTTCATTCAACATTCTATTGAACAAGATTGTCGCTTCTGTCCATTTATTTGATTTGCACAATCCATCTATTAAACAACTATAGGTGACAATGTTGGGTTTTACATTTCTTTGACACATTAATTCCAACATGGTATTGGCTTCTTCAGTTCTCTTTTCCCTGCATAAAGCTCCTATTAAAGAACTGAAAGTCACGACATCAGGATGGACACCTTCATTCATCATCCTATTAAGCAAGCTTGTTGCTTCTTCGCATCGCCCAGAATGACACAACCCATGAATTAAAGAATTATAGGTGAAGACATCTGGTTTCACACCTGTACGAGTCATTAGTTCCAGAATTTCAATCTCCTCTGATGACTTCCCCTCCTTGCATAAAATATCTATCATGGAATTAAAAGTTACAACATCAGGTGAAATTTCAGAAGCAATCTTGTTTTTGAAGAATTTTATGGCCAATCTCCACTCGCAACATCAAGCTTTATGCCTCTTTGGTCATTAAATTGAATAGTGATATTGCTTCTTGGATCTTCCCATCCTTGCAGAGAGGAGTAATAAGAGCATTTAAGATATGCACATTAAGAGAAATCCCCTTGTTTAACCATGGCAGCTAAATAATCTTTTTGCTTCATCCCATACCCGTTAATATCTTGAAAGATAATCAAAGCCTTATTCATTTGTTTCTCTTTACAAAATCCATCAATAATTGTACTATAACACATCACGTTAGGTTCAAAGCTTCCATTTCCATTCATCTTTATGGATTATAGAATATATATTTGACATTGATATATTCGATTCAATTTGAAAAAATATATATATAGTAATTATGAATTTGGTTTTAGTTTCTTGCATCGTGTTTTGATTAATTTGGTGAATCCATGATTAAGGGTTTTTTGCTTAGGATATGTTAGTATTAATCAACCCAAAGGAAGATTAATAACTGACATAATCACATGTACAACTTTAGTAATCGCATGTAATAAATCGACCTAAAGGAAGATTTTTGCTTGACGTATTCTTTTTTCAGTGTTTGGTTACCACATCAAATATCATTTAAGGTGAATATTTTGTCTAAAGATGAAATATTAATGGAGTATTTGATATCTTGAGGTAATGTTTAAGTGTATTCAAATTTATTATTATTTTGATTGTCTTTTAATTAAATTAAAAGTTAAATTAAGAGAAATTGATTGATTGACAATATTTATATGGTTTTATTTATATTGTTGATGCAATATATGTTTATATTCAATTTAGATTTTTCTAATTTTGATTGTTGGTTATTGTATATTTTTTGAAACAAATTAATTCATATTATGACCATGTCTGATATTTTGATAGATTAGTTGAAACATAATCCCGTCAAAGTGACCTATTTTGTGTAAACTGATTTATTTAAAATATCAAAATGATTATGTTTCTTGTGATTTATGCGTTTATAAATAGGCCCACGAAAAGTTAATATTTGGCCGGATTTCATGTGACATCTATGGTAATAATATATGACAATTATTATAAGGTATTTTATGTGAGCATTGCATTAGTCCAAAGACTAGTCTATTGTTCGATATACTTTATTATCAATGTTTAATTACTACAACAAGAGTACCGTTTACTGTTAATATTACTATCCAAAGACTTGATATTGATGTAGTGTTTGGTATTTCCTGATGAGAATTAACCATAATTTTGAATTTATTTGTTTACTTAAGATGTGAGCTTTAATTTTATTTATGTTTTGTTTTGTATTCAACCAATTATTTATTTATGGCTATCACGATATCTGCTATTATATATTTTCTTCTCATGCTTAAGAAAACGAATCTCAAGGAATGAGAAAATACACTTATATAAAATTTTTGTTTGTATGAACATAAATTTTGCACTAAGGAAAGAATAATTTCCACCTATCATGGGGATAACATCCTTAATTGGTATAAGAGATTTGGAGAAGTGAAATTTGTTTAAATTGCATAAGTTTAATGGTCATGGAACGCAATATTTTAGAAGCCTTTAGTATTACTATTTATTGTCAATGTTTGATTACTACAACAAGAGTACCATTTACTATTAGTATTATTGTCCAAAGACTTGGTATTAATGTAGTACCTTGTGATGGGAATTAGTCATTATTTCGAATTTATTGTTTGCTTATGTGAGCTTGTTATTTATTTTGTTTAGCTAGTTCTTTTACTGCCACCATTTCTGCAAATATCAATTCTATTCTACCACTGTTTCTGCTAATATCAATTCTATTCTCATGCTTAATGAGACAAATTTCAAGGAATGAAAAAGAGAATTACTTATATTGCTTGGCTATATGGACATAGACCTTGCATTAAGAGAAGAACAACTTGCACCTCTCACTGCGAAAAGCAATCTTGATGCAAAAAAGTATTTTGAGAGGTGAGATTGTTCAAATCGCATGAGTTTAATTATCATGAAACACAACATTTCATAAGCCTTTAGGGGCACTTAATTTGAAGAGATTAATCAGGCTAAGATTTTCCTTGATGAAATTAGAAACGTATTGCTAAACACGATGAAGTTGATATGACATCACTTCTGACTTCTTTGATGTCTATGAAGTATAAGAGTCAAGAAAATGTGAGGGAGTGCATTATGAGAATGTTCCATATTGCTTCAAAACTTAAGGCACTTAAGATTGAGCTTTTTGAAGATATATTTGTTCTTATGGTTTTGGTATCGCTTCCTACGCAGTTAACCAATTTAAAATCAATTATAACTGCCAAAAGGAGAAATGGAATCTAAATGAGCTTATTTCTTATTGTGTGTAAAAGGAAGAAAGGTTGAAGCAAGACAAAACTAAAAGTGCGCATTTGGCCTGTGCCTCTAAAGATAAGGGCAAGAAAAGGAAAAATCATAATGAAGTAACTAAGGGTCCCAGCTCAAAAGAAACAAAAAAAAGATAAAGAAAGTTGTTTCTTTTGTAATAAGTCTAGACATGTGAAGAAAGATTATACCAAATATCACACTTGGCGTGCAAAGAAAGGTATGATTCTTACTTTCGTTTGTTCTAAGGTTAATTTAACTTCAATACCTATAAATACTTGGTGGATAGATTCGGTGCTACTACTCACATACGTGTTTCTATGCAAGGTTACCTGAACTTTCTAAAGCCAAATGATGGTGAAAGATACATTTTTGTGGGCGATGAAAAATCGGTAGAGGTGGAAGTAATTGGAAAATTTAGGTTGCTATTAGGAACTGGTTATTATTTGGATTTAAACGACACTTTTGTTGTACCATCTTTTAGGAAAATTTTGGTTTCTGTTTCTTTATTGGACAAATATGGATATTATTGTTCATTTAAAAATAATCAATTTATTTTGTCTTTAAATTCAAATGTTGTTGGAACCAGTTATTTGATTACGTATGACAACCTTTATTTACTCGAAACAATTGTATCCTATAATGGAACCTTGCACGTGGAATCACATGGTACTAAGCAAAAATTAAATAAGGAAAATTCGACATCATTATGGCATAAACGCTTAGGTCATATCTCAAAAGATATAATTGCACGCTTAGTGTCTAATGGTATTTTTGGGTCCCTTGATTTTACAAACTTTAATGTATGTGTTGATTGTATCAAGGGAAAACAGACCAAAACTAAGAGATTAGGTGCCAACAGATCTACATATGTCCTAGAATTAATTCATACAAATATTTGTGGGTCATTCCTTACGGCATCCTAGAATGATCAAATATACTTTATAACATTCATAGATGACTACTCACGTTATGTGTACCTATATCTTATTCATGAGAAATATTAGTCTTTGGATGTGTTCAAAGCTTATAAAGCTAAAATTGAGAATCAACACAACAAAAGAATTAAGAAACTAATATCTGATTGTGGTGTTGAGTACTACGGTAGATATGATGGCTCGGGTGAATAACGTCCAGGACCATTTGCCAAATTCCTAGAGGAATATGATATTGTCCCATAGTACACCATGCCAGAATCACCTAGTATGAATAATGCAGTTGAGAGACGTAATAGGACTCTTAAGGATATGGTAAGGAGTATGATTGCTCATTTTACCTTACCTGAGTCTTTCTAGGGAGAAGCATTAAAGACAACATTTTATATTCTGAATATAGTGCATACTAAAGCAACTGTAAAAACACCTTATGAGCTTTGGACATGTCAAAATCCTAGTTTAAAGCATTTTCACATTTGGGGATGTCCATCTGAGGCAAGGCCTTATGAGTCACATGAAGATAAATTGGACTCCAAAACAATGAGCATATACTTTATTGGCTATTCAACATTTTTAAGGATGTTGAGTTTTGGACAGAGAAATAAGGTTAAAGACATTGCTTTTGAGGAGGAATTAAATTCCAATTCAGTTCCTACTATCACTTTGTTGTTCAGGTTTATACCTATTAATCAAGAAGTGAATCCAAAACCTCAACAGGACAATGTTGACCAACTCCCTATTCATGATGAGGTAATTATTCCAGAGGAACAAACTCAACATGTGTCATTAAGGAGATCCACGAGACAAAGAAGAAATGTTATTTCGGATGATTACATTGTATTTCTTCAAGAAAATGAGGATGATAATGGAATGATGAAAGGTGATTCAATCAACTTTCGTCATTTCATGGAAATTACTAACTCTCAAAAGTGGATTGATGCCATGCAAGATGAGTATAAGTTCATGCAAGACAATAACCAATTGGTTGCAAATGGATATTTAAAATCAAGAGAGATGCAAATGGTAAAGTGAAGAGGTATAAGACACATGTTGTATCTAAAGGATATACTAAAAAAGAAGGCATTGACTTTACAGAGACTTTCTCTACAGTTTCATCAAAAGACTATTTTAAGATAATCATGACACTTGTTGCTTATTTTGATCTTGAGTTACACCAGTTGGATGTTAAGAATGCGTTTAAGAAACAATTTATATAGTGCAACCTGAACAATTTGAGTTGGGAGATCCAAAAGATATAGTTTGTAAATTAACTAAATCTTTATATGGACTCAAGCAAGCTTCTCGTCGAAGGTACCACAAGTTTCATCAAGTAGTTATCTCGTTTGGTTTTGAGATAAATATGGTTGATAATTGTGTATATCACAAGTTTAGTGGGAGTAAGCATATATTTATGTTTCTATATGTCGATGACATTTTGCTAGCCTCAAATGATGTTGGTTTGTTACATGAAACCAAAAGATTTTTGTCTAAGCATTTTGAAATGAAAGATCTTGGCGATGCTTCTTTTATCTTAGGAATTCAAATACACCGAGATCGATCTCAAGGTATTTTTGGATTGTCACAAAATAATTACATTGATAAAGTACTTTAAATGTTTGGCATGTAAAATAGTAAACCAGTTAACACCCATGTCGCTAA